CGGGGGCCCGGGCGCCTCCGCGGGGACAGCAGAGAGCGCCGACCCGGGCGCCGTGGGGGCGGTGGGGGTCTTCACAGCGCCTCCTCCCTGCAGGCCACCGTCGTGAAGCACTTGGCCCCGATCTTCTGTCCCAGGCGCCCCCTCCCGGGTACCCCCTTCCAAAAGCTGCCAGGCACCCCCGGGACTTGTCAGGTGGCTTCGGCGACAGGGGCAGGGATGGCACTTATCTTTTAAGTTAAGCTTTAGAGTCGGGGTCAGGGTTCCCATACCCTGGCACCCTTCCATCAGCTTGATGTTTCTTAGGAGGGTGAAGGGATTGCATAAGATTTTTACTTTCTTTGGCCCCCAAGGAAAGGAGAGAATGAAAGATGAAGAAGGGAGCAAGAAAAAAAGATCATATTCATCATACTCTTTGGGTGCTTCCGTGCCCTGCAATGTGCGTGCATTGTCCCATTTAAGGCAGAAAGATGGTGTCTGAGTTCATTCACACACACACACCCGCAAGGTAATGCGCGGGAGAATTTGGACAAGTTTTTCATTGGAAAAAGCTTCCACTCAACAAGTCTGGAGCCCCAGCCACTGCCATTTTATATTAGCGAGGAGACAGGGAAATGCTGTGGGGATCTCCAAACTTGGTCTCTCTCACTGAGAAGTCAATTGCGAGACTAAAGCAGTGTTTTCCTTCCTGTCCTGATTAGTCTGCTTCCAGCAGTTTCAGTGGCCAGATCTAAATGCCTCCCGCTGGGAAGCTCAGGCAGAGAAAGCAAATCCAGCCATAGGATGTTTGGGTGGGCCAAGGTACGGAATCAGTGCAGTGGCTGAGATGATTCCTTTCCTCCCCTAGTGGGAATTCAAATATTAAATGATTCCTGCTCAGGAAATTGGGCTCTTAAAGACAAGAATACCTTCCTGTTCCAGACCAAATGCCCATTTCCTAAACTTTCCCTTTACACCTTTGGTATTTGAGGTTTTTCATAGACTCCTGGTCTCTGAGTCCTCTTTGCTCTTATCTTCCTTCTCTTTGTCACCAAGAAATCAGAACTCCTCCTGACATGGATGCTCCAGAGGCAAAACCAAGCTACACCTATTGTGTTTAGTTTTCCAGGTACATCCTTGACAGCCTCTGTTCAAAAGACTTGTTATATTTGAGAGCCTTGTTGAGAGTCTGAGAATTCCTAAACTCCCGTACCTTTTGAAATGTGACTAACACTTTTTGAGTATCTCCTATGTGCAGACACTTACATTTTCTAAACTACTCTCACAAAAACTCTGTAAGGTGTTTACTATGTTTCAGAAAAGTCAGGTAACATACTCAAGGTGACCCCGTTAAGAATTTCTTTAAATCAATGCCCAAGGTTCACTATTGTTGGCCACCATTCTTTTTTTCTTCGATCCATGTGTTCCAAACAGGAATCCTTGGACTTCAGGGGAACAATTTATTGTACATATGTCTGTGTACATTTTTCCTGCAAGGAGAAGATCCATTGTTCTCAACAGATTTCTTTCAAATTGGGCCACATCTTTCTTCATCATGGCAATCCCTTTTCTAGCAAATCAGAGAGAGCAGGCTTTCATGGCAGATATTTTTTCACACATATTCATTCATTTGTTCATTCAACAAATATTTATTGAACATCTACTCTCTGTTAAGTCCTGTGGGTTCAAAGCTCTGTCCTCAAGGATCGTACAGTTTCGTGAGGGAGACAGACAAGAAGCAGGCAATTATTATACCACCTATGAAGAGACAAATTTTGGGAACCATGGGAGCACGCAGGAAGGATAGTCTGGGTTCTCCTGGAGTTCAAAAACTGTCAGATATGCCTTCCATATCCAACTTTGCTGCCCAAGGGCTCAGCCTGGAGTGGTAGCTTGAATGTTCTGTGACCTAGCCATAGTAGATGGGCTCTATGTTGCACCTGCCCCTGGGTGGGCCATGACAGGTTCTCTCCCCAGAGTTTGAAACTGAGCCTTCAGGATGAATCAGCCAGCTGTCACTGAATGGTGAGCTTGTAGACTGTGGTGGCCCAAATCAGAACTATGGCACCCAAAGCCATAATGTCAAAGTCACTAAGAAGTAAGATTTAAGACCCTTGCCAAGGAAGCTCATCTGCAAAAAGGCAAATAGACAACCATGTAGACCGAAACGAGATTCCAAAAAGCCTAAAAGATTTGGACATCTAACTGCTTCCTTGATATCCCCATTGTGTGCATTTAACCAGCATTTCAAACTGGATTTGTCCTAATCAGGACTCTTGATTTTTATGCACCAAGCCTCTTCTCTCCCAAGGTCACCCATCAGTTGAATGACATCACCACCCATCTAGCCACTCAGGTCCAAACCTAGGAGCATTGTTGATTCCTCTTTTTGCTTATACCACACATCCACACCATCAGCCACTTCCATCAGCTCTAACCGGTCCTGAGCCAAGCCATATCAGAGCCTGAAGCACAAGGAAAACTGTGACCCCTACATATTTTTTTGGACCAAGTAAAAAAGTTAGTAAAAGCTCTATAAGGAAAAAAACATGACTACACATGAAGCACCATGTTGCCCAATCAGTTCTCCCACCACTGCCAACACTCATAAAACTGCCAGTGAGGAAGTATGATGGCCAAGTGGCCCGGAAACTGAGTGCTGGTTGGAACAACTATTCTTGTTGCACAGTGGTACAAGGTCATAAGATAAGCCACAACCTGTCTTTTCTTTTTTTTATTACAGATTTTTTGCAGTCA